TGCTTCAGGACAACCCAAACGGAAGGGTTGACCCAGGTGGGAGTCCTCAACACGTGCTGGGGAATCCAGGGCGAGGCCCCCAATGAGCAGAGAGAAAGGGACCTTAAAGGCATTACCCAGGAGCGAGAGGAGGGAAAGCCGAGGGAGACAAGGAAGGGAAGACGCGCGGCAGCAGCAGGTGGCAGTGTTGCAGACCCAGAGGCACCCTGAGACCCAGACCCTGCGCACCCTCCACTGGCACTGCCATCTGTTGCGTGCGGGCAAACACACCCCTCACGTGAAAGCCCTGCTGTGGAAAACAAAGGGTTGGTGTGCAAGGGAGAGGAGAAGGACAGGGTTAAACAGTTTCCAAGGACCAAAGCCTCCCGGGCCTGCAGGTCAGTCCCTTGACCCCTACAGTGATGACCCCAGCTTTGGGCACCGCCTGCGGCATCCTCTCTGCAAGTCCCCCCAGGGGCTGTGGGGGAGCGGACACACCTGACTTGCCTCAGGCTACAGAATTTTTGGGGACTTGCTGTCGGGGTCTCCGCCATCTCCATGCATGTCTGTCCTGGAACGGACCTGCCCCAACAAGGGGCCTGAGCCACGAGGGGTCTCTGTCCCCCCCCGGCCTCTTTCATTCCTGCCCATGCTGCAGTGATCCCCAGACCCACTGTGGGGACATCCCTGGGGCAAACACCTGCCCAAGAGGGTGGCTTCTGCACGGGAGTCTCCAGCTGGCCAGGGATGTCCACGGGAAAGCGGAAGGGGAGACCCCAGCAGGTGGCACCTCCGTGCACCCCTCCACCTGCAAGGGAGAAGAATAGTCCCCCCACATGCCGCTGTGGCCCTAGATTCAGTGCAGGACAGGCCCTTGAGAAAAAGCTGGGTCATGAACACCGACTCCACACCCCTGAAAGCAGGAGCTGAATCTCCCTGCCCGGGACTGCCCCAGGGAGAAGGGAAATCACAGGGGTCTGCAGGTCCATCTCCCCTGATCGGAGCTGGCACCCCCGACCTTCCCCGGTTGCTGTCCCCCAGAGCCTTCCCTGCCCCAAGGGAGGCACCCACTGTGGTCCAAGGACCCACCCGGAGTCTGCTCGTCTCTCCCTGGAGAAGAGATGTGTGTGGGGACGAGACACCTGACACCCCACTATTCGAAATTCCTTCCCGGTTTGTGCGCATCACAGGGCTGGGTGGAGGCTCCTCTGCACTTACCCAGCAATTTCTCTCCCACAAGATTTTCTTCTAACGCCACTGGGAGCAGCACTTGGAGCCCCCGCGCCATCTTCTGGCCAAGACAGAGAGAAGCTGTTTAAACAATGAGAGCGAAGGATGGACATTTTCCCAGTTAGCAGAAGTTACCGAACAGCTCTGAAGACACATTGCTCCTCCCCACTGAACGAAGGTTAGCCCCGGTGGCCTGGCTGCTGCATGCAAGGTGGGGTGAACTGCAGCGTGCCCTCAGCGAAGCGTCACGGGCAGTGGGGCTCAAAGGGCAGACTGAATTTTCAGGGCACCCCTTCCTGCCCCAGGGCTCTGATGGAAACTGTTTTTGAGCCACAGATCTTGGAAACAGCGCGAGAAGGATGGACCAAGGCCAACGTCGGAAAACGTCTTTAAAAATCTTTTTATGGGGCCTCCCTGGTGACGCAGGCGGTTGAGGGCCGCACCATGAAGTAATCCGCAGCCTCTGCAGCACGGGTTCAATCCCTGCAAGTCAGGGAGAAACCCACATGGTGCAGCAGACCTCTCCTGTCTCGTCCGCTGCTCCCCTCAGCAGTGTATTTCAGTCAATCTGCTGTTCTCATCCCCACTCTCTCTGGTGGATCCTCTCACCCCCTGCATCTCTGGCCTGTACCTCAGATCATGTATGCATAAATAAATATTTAAAAAATCATTTTATGGCGCCTCCCTGGTGGGACAAGGGTTGGGACGCAGGCTATGGGGCTGTCCATGGCCACTGCAGCGCAGGTTGGATCCCCGGCCAGGGAGATACCCAGGTGTACAGCAGACCTCTCCTGTCTCCCCGCTGCTCCCCTCAGCAGTGTATTTCAGTCAGTCTGCCTGTTCTGCTCCCCACTCTGTCTCCGGTGAATCCTCTCACCCTCCCAAGCATCTGGCCTGTACCCCAGTTCTTGTATAAAAATAAATAAATCTTTAAAGAATAAACAAATAGATAAATAAATAAAAAGGTGGACTGCGGTCCTCACTCTAACTTGACTTTAAATCTCACCCAACTTTCCTGAGAGTCTGACTAGCCTCCCAGTGATCATGCTATCAACACTGTCCCTAACTAAACTAAGAAACCAGTAGTTTTCACTGGCCTTGCGACTCTGCACACACAGCAAGCCAACCCTCCCGCAGAGTTCCTGGCAATGTGCCTTACTCCAGCATTTCAGGGCTCCCCGGGTGGGTGTTGCCCTAACTAGGGACACACGGGATTTAGAACAGCTCCTCTGCTAGGAACAAATATACCACCGACATTCTTTTTAGTCTAACAGCACTCTAAAAATGGGTCGCTTCCCTGGTGAAATGTACTCTCATGTCACAACCCCAAAACTTGCCATTTTACTACTGTTCCTCTTGTTACTAAGCCTACCACTCAGCGGCTGTCCCCATGACTTTGCTACAGGGCAGGGAGAGGGGCAGCCCAGACCCCGCAAACCTGCCTGCTCTAAACAGGTTCTGCCATCCTGCTTCCTTCCTTCCTCAGTCTCCTCTGCAGCTTCTTCTCTCCCTGCTCAGCTCCACTCTCCCTTGGGTGGGCAGGGAACCTGGAACCTCCCCCTTTCTGGGATCCCCGTTACAACTTCACCTGTGACCGAGGGCCCTTAGTTGCTGCTGTACTTCTCATTCTCCTTTTTAAATCTTTAACATACACAATCTCCTACTCAAATTTATTTCTTCTAACCTAGGGGGAGCGCCTCAAGTTTAAACTCCTCCTCCCAACAAACAGCTCACCCGTACAAGAGGAACAGCCTGTCCAGATGCCCCACCCATGCACTCCAGATGCCCCCCCTCGCCTCCTTCCAGAACCACCAACAGACAGCTCAGGGACTCGTGTCAGGGAGACCATCTCCCGGGCCCTTGGAGGTAGGGCCAGCTCTACATCCCACTCCAGCAGGAAGCAGCTACGGAAAATGGACATCCTCCCTTCAACTCCCCAAAAGATTTTGGGCTGGATATGGTCATGGGGGGATGATGGAGGACAAGAATGGAAAGACTGGAAAGGATGTGCCCCAAGGCCAAAACCTGACTCACACAAGGAGGTGGGGATGGAGGAAATGCACATGACCATTAACCCAGCTGTGGAGGATGGACCCTCAGGTGCCAGCGCCTTGTCACGAGGCAGGAGAGGCGAGCAGGATCCGATGCTCTAGGGAGTGGGGCACAGCCCTGAGGGGAAGGATGTGGAGACTGGCCCACCCCAGGATCTCTGGTCCTTTCTAGTGCTGCCTGTTGCCCAACATTCGCAACAAGCAGCCGCTCCACGGAGGAGTGAGCCTCAAGGAGAAAGGGACTGTGGCAGGGCAGGCTCCGCACAGGCCCGGGGCAGCCGTCCCCAGCCCGCCCGGGACCACCCAGGAGCTTCTTCTCACCAGCTCTCACCTCTGTGGGGCAGCAGCCTCCTGGCTGGTGGACTGTACCTGCCAGGACGTCTCCACTGATCTCCTAGGCGGAGGCCGCTCTCCTCAAGGCCGCCCGCTGCAACCGCGCAGGCCTCTCTAAGCAAACCTGTCCCCTTCCCTTTCCCTGAGAAACCAGCCCTGTAAACACAACTAACGTCTCTGTCTCGTGGAGAAGCAACCTGGGAAACCCCGGGTGCTGCTCAAACAGGGTCTGGGAAACATTTCCCAGAGTGAACCCAGGACCTCGCACTCCAAAACCCCATCCCCCCACTCTATTCCCCGAGGCCCACGGAAAAAACCCCGCAGTTCTGGAAGGACACTAGGAAAGATCTCTGGCGCCACCTAGTGCCCAGGACAAAATCACCACCTTCCTGATGGTGGGAAGCCAGGGATCCCAAACCACCTCAGGCGCTGAGGGGCTGGGCCAAGCCAAAGGGGTAAGAAGAGATTCCAGGCCAGTCAACTGTAAAAGCAAAACCAATCATGAGAGCTGAAATACATGTGGTTCTGCTGGCAGGACAATCACAGACACTGCTACTACAACTGTAATTTGATGCCACCATTAAATAAAATGCCAAATTTCAGTTAGAATTAGGGAAAATCAAGATGCATTTTACCTCTTCCCTGATTCCATACTCCCGTCTAATTGAAGGATAAAGGGCTGAGTTCAGTGAACAGGGAATGTTCAAGGTGGGGAATCTTCACAGGTTGGAGACCAATTCCAACTAGATGTCGTGTCAGGGATTGCAGCAGGAGAGGACCGCCTTGATGAAATTTTTCGGAGGGCTGAGGGGAAGTGGAGCCAGGTAGGAGTGAGGAAGACACAGACACCGTCTCTCATGCAAGTACCTCCTCCTGAGGGTCTCAGCAGGTCTTTTTTTATACCTAAGGCCAGTGGTGAGATGATATCAGTATAAGCATCAAAGCAGAACAGAGACAATCATTACATATTTTCTCATGAACATACAAAGACCCTCTTGATCTCATACTACAAAAGGACACTTCCTTAATCTGATTAAGAAAATCTACAGGGACAATGACTCCCTTAGGTACAACTCTTTTTCTAACGTAATCCATTTTCTAAGACAGTACAATGTTCAGTAACAATCAATCACCCTGTCAAGCCTTCCTAATTTCTGAGTGGACATGAAGTCCATTGTTATGCTATATTACTAAAATCAACCCATTCCCTAGTACTCAATTCCTCTAGCCCATTATCAATTACTTCAAAGTGATCTAAAGTAACTCATTAATACTGTTTAGTTCGACAGAAATCTAACTTTCAACTAGAAATACCGAACCTCCACACAACCTGCACACTGTTAACTTTTCGCATACACCAGGAGATGTGCTGTTGCTGCAAACAGGTACCCCCCGGGCTAGGCTATGATTTCCAAGCACAGCTGGTTCAGGGCAGCTTGTTCTCCAGAGTTCTCAGGGTCAAAACCTTTCTTTCCTAACTATATCTTTAACAATTTTTACTTCTTTTGTGACAGTTCATGTGTAAGAACAATAAGCCAATTGTCACCTGGGTCCGATTTAGGTTTTCACAGGCCAATGAATAGCTAACTTACTTCAGCATTAACTAGGAACAAAGAGGAGAGCTTCAGCAGGCTTTGCCATGGAGACTCCCTAGTTCAGATCTTCTTTGGGAGGTGCAAGAACTCCCCTCTTCTGGGAAGTACAACTTTCCCTCTTCAGGGGAGCACAGGGACCCCGCTTCTCAGAGTCTCTCCTAATGCCCCGACGATGTCAAGAGACAGCATGGGAGGTGCAGCCTCCCGCAGAGCAGGCTGGGAAGGGTGAGACCAAGTGATAGAATAAAGAGGGCTGCCTTCACTTGCTCATGCAAAGAGGAGGATACTAATGTACAGAAATGTCCAGAAAAACAGGTCCAGAGGCCCATGTCCGAGGCCTGTTACAATGAATGAAAGCAAGAAGTCACTATAAACAAGTGGGGGACACACTTGGAGGTCACAGGCCAGCTGGTGAGAGGGAAGACCCCGGAGAGGTCTGAGGAGAGAGCAGGGAGTCTCAGGACAGCTGAGACCAAAGACTGACACAGCTGAGGCAGGTCCACTCCTGCTGGGCTCTTCCCAGGGATGTTCTTCATAAATGCTCCAGTGCAGTGGCACAGGATGAAATGTTACTCAGGGATCAAGAAAGACAAACTCTCGCCATCTTCGGTAACAAGGATGGAGCTGGAAGGCTACACTAGCCGATGTAGTCAGAAGGAAGAAGATAAATAGCGGACGGTCTCACTGATATGTGGAATATAGAGAAACCAAAAAAAAAAAAAAATCAATCAAGAAAAAGACAAAACTAGCAAACTGACCACAGAGCTGAGGTGCACAGCAAAGGAAGGAGAGTGAGGGGGGCGAGACAGGAGAGGAAAACACAGTTATGGTTCATGGGTGATGTGGCGGTGGGAGAGCTAGGGGGACTACTGAAAGAAAAAAGAAATGCTCTGGTGCCGAGTGAGGCCTGGAGGCAGGGCACCTGAGAGCTGAGAGGAGACAAGAGGCTGCCTACACAGAAGAGCCTTCATGACTGATGCCCGAGGGGAAGTGTGGGCAGGGGCCTGGGTTAGGGGACTGATAGAAAGGATGATGTGGCAGGCGACGAATACTTTAAGACCACAGGTTTGGGAAAAACACAACAGGAAAGCAACTAAAAGGGAGGATGTGATCCCAGGTCTACCCGGGGCATGTGGCACTCCATGTACGGTTGGTATTAAAATTCTTCTAGCAAACGCCAACAGCTTGATAGCTTTGATGAGCTCTAGAAGTGAATCAGCCAGACTTTTGAAAGTTCCCAGAAGAATTCCTCCCTCATTCCTTCTCATGTGCCATCCCCCTCATACAAGCTGTTCTCAGAACACAGATAAAGGCCTGTCAGCCACAGAGGAACCATATTCCAGACAACTCATGTAATGCTTACTTATTGCCTGAATCTTACATGTCTTAGATGTGCCTTTCATCTGTCTCCCCCTGATCCATTTACCCTTGACATGGACTCCAGGTCAGCTCCTTCCCTCTAGCGTCCATGCTGCCTCCCATCACCTCCAGTGATCCTCTTTTCTCATCCCTTCCATCCCACTTGCTTCTTCTCTAATGCATATAGTTCTAGCACTTCAGAGCCAGACTGATTCACAGCTGCTCTTCCCAGATACTCTTTGGTGCCTGAGGAAACCTAAATGTCAAGTCCAGATTCCTTAGCCGAGCACATTGAAGATTGACTGACTTTTCCAGGCTCCCCTGTGAACGCCCATGTTCCAGGTGGGCAGTCTCAGAAGACCTAGAAAGAGTGGGTCACAGGTCTTGTTCCCACCAATAATCTCTTTAGCTACTGTTCCTGCTGGTCCTTGATGTTGGGGTCCCGAGTGATTCACCAGATCCAAGGCAGTCTCAGATACCCCTTGTCTGATTTCCACCCCTCAGTGTGCTCTGAAAGGATATTAGAACTTGGAGGAATTCAAGACTGAGGACTGCTAAGCGCCCGCAGGCTTTGTGGACATAGGCCCTATCAGCTGCTGTTACTAAGGACCCCTTGGCGTTCTTGAAAATTGTCCAGTATGGGCCTCCCCAGTGGCGCAGGGGGTGAGCGTTGGGTTGTGAAGCTGCCTGTGGCCTCTGCAGTGCCAGTTCGATCCCCGACTGCTCCCCAGCCACTGGCGGAGGGTCCCACATGGCGCGCCGACCTCTCCTGCCGCCCGCTGCTACCCTCAGCAGTGTACTTCGGTCCTTCTTCCAGCTCTTCTCCCCGCTCTGGCTCTGGTGAATTCTCTCATTCTCCTGCCCTTGACTGTACCCAGTGCTTGTATAAACAAAACAAACAAACAAATAAAACATGCCTCTATTAAAAAAAAATTAAGGGCTTCCCCAGTGGTGCAGCGGTTGAGCGCTGGGTTGTGAAGCTGCCCGCGGCATCTGCTGCGCAGGTTCGATCCCCGGCTGTTCCCCGGCCACCAGACGAGGGTCTCACATGGTGTGTAGACCTCTCCTGCCGCCCGCTGCTCCCCTCAGCAGTGTACTTCGGTCCTTCTGCCTGCTCTGCTCCCTGCTCTGGCTCTGGTGAATTCTCTCACCCTCCCGCGCTTCTGACTGTACCCAGTGCTTGTATAAACAAACAAACAAATAAATAAACAAATAAATAAAACATGCCTCTTTAAAAAAAAAAAAAGACAAGAAAATTGTCCAGTATGTCCTTCTTCCAAAGCATTGATGGCCAGTATGCACAGATCAGAGACAATGGGACTTACATACATAGATGTTCTAGAACATAATTCTGGAGTGGAACCCCCATCAAATTTGAGCACAAATATTGATCAAGAAATGAATTAATCTGTAATTGCTTAAGAAGTGCTCCTAACATTTTTTAGTGTTTCATTTTCACTCAAGGCTGAAGGGAGCGTTTGGTTGGTTCAAAAGAAGACAGAACTCGAGTAAAATCAGGAGAGAAATGTGTTTCCAGAATTAGGATGCCATTCAGAGGAAGTCCAAACACCAACTTCGATATGGTGATCTCATTTTGCACAGCCTTGGCTGGGCCACATCCCTGCTGCAGAAGCAGTCACAGGTCAAGTCACCTCACAGGAATTCACCCAGGAGATGTAGACTCAGAGAGTGTTCAAGAAGCCTGAACTTGAATAAACATGACAAAGGACTCTGAATGTTGTGCATCAGCATTTCTGTAGAATTTAGACGTTTTGGTCACACACACCGTACCACATCTACCTGGTTGTGACTTAGCCCAAACTCTGAGAAATGACATCTTTGTCATCTGTTGTCTAGAATTCTCAGTCTTCTGGCAGGGGCCACTGCAGCTGCCAAATGTAGAGATGGCCCAGGTATATCTAGGCAGAGGGATCTTCTCTGCTTTGGTGAGATTAAGGTAAACATGGGCTAATAAAGTGGGAGCCTACTACTTGGAATGAGGTGAAGTGATTTTTTCTTCATTTCTACACAAAATTTGACATACTTCGTATATGTGTAATTCATTCTCATGACAACTACTGCAGTCATGTCATTTTTCATATGGAACCACACAGACTTGTCACACCAGGTGCTAAAAAGGCATAGGAGAAAAGCAGCAGGAAGTAAAACTGGAAACTGGTTGTCCCTTCTCTGTGTGCAGCAGGAGAGGGTGGGGGATACATGGGCATGGCAGGACACAGACTTCTCTTTGACCAGGAAACAAAAACCTGAATGACTTGTAGTATAATGCATGCATTCTAATTAAGCAAGTGCCCCCAAACTATGGAAGCAACACTGATCTAAAATATAATTCCTGGTCTCCAAAACAAGAAATGGGCCTAATTTGAGAGAAACCAACATCACAAAAAAATCCAGATTTGGGAAGGAACGACGAGCTCCTGCATTGGATCTAAAACTTGGGACAGTGGAGTCTTCCATCAAGGGCTGCCTTCCAGGCCACCCCAATGGACAAAATTCATCATCACATTTTACTGTAGAGCAGTTGGTACTTTGACCTTTTGTAACTGGGTGGTCCCCAGGAAAGGGGGAGGTTCCAGGTTCCCTGCCCCACCCAAGGGAAGGTGGAGCTGAGCAGGGAGAGAAGAAGTTGCAGAAGAGACTGAGGAAGGAAGGAAGCAGGATGGAGCCAGGAGACCTGGAGAAGGCACATGGAGCCTAGAGACACGTGAAGAAACTGCACTTGTCCTTTGGTCGTGGACAGGGTGACACAGATGTGGGTGAGACCCGTGGTGAGGTGACCATGGTGGTTTTTGTCTTGATATTGATTTTGCTCTTTTCCCTCCAGACTTGTCTGGTTGTTTCTGCTCCTTTTCTTTGGGTCCCCACTGGAAGGTGCTTTAGACCGTGGCAGGCTTTGGGGCCTTTCTCTGGGCCAATTCCCTTTGGATG